TGTGTGTGTGTGTGTGTGTGTGTGTGTGTGTGTGTGTGTGTGTGTGTGTGCGTGCGTGCGTGCGTGTGTGTGTGTGTGTGTGTGTGACAGTGCGTGACTTCAGAGTGTGTGTTCGGAGGACAGATGCGTCCGATCGCTGCAGACTGAAGGGGGACGGGGTCCTGCGAGCCGACATGGAGTCTCTGCACCTGCTGGACAAGAACGGGGACATCCTGTACACCTGGCCGTACAGGTACCTGCGGCGCTTCGGCCGGGACAAGGTGACACACACACTGACTGACCGCACCTGGTTGTGGTTTTTGGGTTTCAGAGTTGGTTCAGTCCAGAACCTAAAGGTTTCTTGTCTAAATGTTCTGTCTTCAGTCCACCTTCTCCTTTGAGGCGGGCCGCAGGTGTGACTCAGGTGAGGGGAACTTTGAGTTCGACACCAAACAGGGGAACGCCCTCTTCCAGTCGGTGGAGGCCGCCATCAACCTGCAGAAGATCTCCCTCCCTCACAGACAGATCTCTGGAGGGGGTCCGGGTCTCTCAGACACGGCCCAGAACCATTCGGTCCCCAGCTGGACGCCTCAGCCTCAGACCCGCGGACCCCCCGCTGCGAAAGTAAGCTGACATCACGCTTACTGTTTCAAAATAAAGGCTTGGTTTTCAAAATCAAAGCAGGAGTTTCCAAAGCAGCAGAATGCCAATATTTTCAAAATAAAGGCATTAAGTTTTGTAAGAGCAGGTTTTTAGTAAAGGTCTTTTATTTTCCAAACCAAAACATTTTCAGCTGCGGGCTGTAGAGCCAGTGGTTCCAGCTGTAAGCTCGTTAAGACGGAGCTCGTTAAGATGGAGCTCGTTAAGGCGGTGCTCGTTAAGGCGGAGCTCGTTAAGGCGAAGCTCGTTAAGACGGAGCTCATTAAGGCAAAGCTCGTTAAGATGGAGCTCGTTAAGGCAGAGCTCGTTAAGATGGAGCTCGTTAAGGCAAAGCTCATTAAGGCAAAGCTCGTTAAGATGGAGCTCGTTAAGACGGAGCTCGTTAAGATGGAGCTTGTTAAGGCG